GTGCTGTGGACTACCAACTGGAACTCTTGGCTTCAGCATCAGCTTTTCTTTTGCTTACTGTTCATCTTTGTCACCTCAGCCGTCTTTCAGAGTGTTCCGGACTCTCTGTCACCCAGCCCTGGTGTGCACTTTGCCAGAGCCACAGCTCAGACCTTGTCGGCACCCCACAAGCTCGCGCTCATTCGCACCTCACCTTCCCTATCCTGTTTGGCTTATTCCAGCCCCACTGCAGCCTTCCCCGACTCACTGCGGCTTTGTAACCTCCTCTCAGCCCAGTAGCCTCACCCATTCTTCCTTCCCTTCCGGTTGAACTGCAGGTCTGTGGGCTGTCATGTTATTGATCCTTAGGCTACTTTCATTTTCTTCCCGCAGCTAGCAAAACTCCATCCCTGGAGGTACAGTGGTCTACTTTTTGTGTTTGCTTTTCCCGTCACTGATTGTAACTGCTTTGACCCGAAGGAAGAGGAGCTGGGCCTGATCCTCGCAGGTTTTAACTGACAAGCATCACCTGACACATACATACCCAGCACCCACTGCTTTCAAGACCTGCGCCCCTCCCTGACCCAGAGCCTCTGTTTAATGTGTGCAGGAGGGAGGAGTAAATTGTAGAGTGAATGAATCTGGCCTGGTGTGCTCAGATAATTATGCAGGACAGTTCAAATACTGGTGGCGGGCTAGGATGGAGGCGTGAAAAATCAAAACCTGTTACCATTGAGTTGACTCGGAACTCCAGGTGTGTACGGCACTGCGGTGCCCCACAGGGTTTCCAATCAACAGGCCTTTCTTGGTGGATTCGGTCAAAGCCACCACCTCTGGATGACTGGTCACGCAGAGGACTTCGTGAGGGTGGAAAAAAGCTTCCTGTGAGCGAGCACACAGGCATACACCAAACTACCTCAGGATGAGGAGGTCTATGTAGAAAGTCTCAAGTTATGCTTTGTTTTCTTACAGGCAACAAACCGGCATTTCCCCCAGACTGTTACAGGAGCCTATCTGAGTGGTGTTCGAGAAGCAAGCAAGATTGCAGCATTTTGAATCGAATTTGTCTGGACCCGGTTTCCCTGTGTCCCCAGATGAGAATGTTTGAGACACGTTGTAGCCCCATTTCCTGAGAAGGGGAAAAAAGCGCTCTGGAAAAAATGGCAAAGTGGTATGGTGATAGGATACTATTTATTGGACACGTTCCCAGCTCTCTTGGCGCACTAGCCCCAGGAGCCCATGTAAGCACTTATTGAATTGCATTTCCCACCGAACTGGTCCGACTACTGGTAGACGTCTTCTGGATTTCAGGAGAGTAAGGCAGCATATGATCTCAAATTAAGCCCTGGGATGAGTCTTCTGTGGTCGGAGATGCTCTTCAGGTTCTGACTGGTCTGTTTTCACACATTGAGAAACCAGGTTATCAAACCAGACAAAGCCATGTTTTTCTTCAACGAGCCTTAAGATTTTTATATAGCTCTACTATTGAGCTTTTACTGAAAATTAAAAAAATTTTTGATAACAGTAAACTGCCTCAGTACAACAGGTTTAAAGAAAATGAAGCTTCTAGACTATTTTATATTGTATATTTATTCCTAGTAGGTATTTAAATGGAGCTTGCATCCAGGTATCTTGTGGTAAAAGCTTAGGTTTGTGTACTCATTGGCCGAGTATTCAGCAACATGTTGACTCCCTTACAGACCAGGTGTACTGCTTCATTGAACATGGGCAGTGTGCTCTTCAGACTAGCCACACAAGACTGCTCTCCACTGCACCCAAATGCAGGTGGTGGCACATCTTAAACAGCCTCTATCTTGGCAATTGCTTGCAAAAACAATCTTGCCAATTTAAGGAAAGCCCCTTTCCAAACTTTCCTTTTTATTAAAAACATCCAATTTGTAAGGGTACTTTTTTCAGTTATGTTTACATTATTCCATAGGCAGGTCCATGGGAAAACTGCAGAAAAAAATTATTAGAGCCTAGTGAACTATTCCGTTTTATAAGCCATATCTTCTGAGAGCCTGAGAACATGGCCAGCATTCACCACTTCCTCTTAGGACAGAACAGTTTGATGTCATGAGAAACAAGCATTAGTTTCAGGGTCTTCAGGGTGCATCTATTTGCCTAGAAACCTTGGGGAGAAAAACCGCAGGTTCAAAGGCT